TATTATGCTTAGTTCCATAATTATTTATCATGTCTTCCTTACGGTCTACTAGCGGAGAAATTCGCTTCCTTTCTCACAATGTTCAGGGGCTCAATTCCCCATCCAAACGCATACAGGCCTTTAGCTCATACCACTCCCTTAGGGCGGATATAGTTGCCTTACAGGAGACTCATTTTCCCCCCTCCTTCTCTCCACGTTATATTCATAAAAATTACCCTCTCTGCTTTTTTGCTAATGCTACAGAGAAAAAGCCGGGGGTGGCCCTATGCTTTTCTCGCCGAGTGTCCTTTGTCGAATCTAAAATTATCCGGGACAAGGAGGGGCGATATCTTTTGGTGAAAGGCCACTTGGGAGGAAACCTTATCACTTTTATAATTTATTATACCCCCAATGCCAATCAGGTTGAATTTTTCCAAACTTTGCTAAGCACTCTGGTCGGAGAATTTGAGGGTGACGTTATTCTAGCTGGTGACTCTAATTTAGCGTTGGACCAGACTCTGGATCGTTCCCAAACCGCCACGCTTCAGCCTCCTTCTAGACGGAGCCGTAAATTGGCTCAACTTTTATATCGATATGATTTTATTGATGCATGGAGGGAGGCTAATCCTACTTCTCGAGACTACTCCCACTACTCCAGGGCTCATAATAGTTATTCTCGCATTGACCATATTTTTCTTCATCATACATATTCACTCCCCAAACTTTTTACTGCTAAAATCTTTTCCACGCCCTGGTCTGACCACGACCCAGTTTCTATCACCTTGACGTCCGAGACTCCTGGTAAGACGGCTTTTCATTGGCGTCTTAATGACTCTATTTTGGGTAATCCCTCTCATTGTCGGGAAATCTCCTCACACCTACAAATATTTTTTGATTTTAATAAAGCAGAGGACACGAACCCAGCGATTAATTGGGCAGCTCATAAGGCCTCAGTCAGGGGATATATTATTCAACTCTCTTCTCGTTTAAAAAAAGCCCGAAATGACCTACTTGCTACTAAAACTCAGTTGTATGCTGACCTGGTTGCTCAACATAAGCAACATCCCAGTTCTGATTTGTTACTTAAACTTGACCAGGCCCGACTGGAACTTAACTTATGTCTTACTACCACTGCGGATAAACAACTTCGTTGGTCTAATCATAAATTCTTTACTTGGAGGGACAGACCTGGCACCCTGTTAGCACGCAAGCTGACTCCTAGACATTCCCAGACGGCCCTCCCCAAGCTCAGACTGGACAATGGTTCGTTATCCCAGGACCCGGGTAAGATCCTCCACAAATTCCATTGTTTTTACTCTCAGCTTTATAGTTCGCCCACGGGGGGTTGTTCTTCTTCCTCTCTGGAGGCTTTTTTGGAGTCTATCTCATTTCCCCTCCTCCGGGAGGCCCATAGGGAGCTAATGGAACAACTTATCTCCTGTGAAGAAGTTGGGAATACGGGGAAATCCCTGGCCTCTCATAAGGCCGGATGGTCTTCCCAATAATTACTATAAAGCTTTCCCGGACATTCTGATACCCCATATGGCCCTGTACTTTAATTATTTGCGGGAGGGGGGAGTGGTTCTCCCAGAGGAAAATAAAGGCATTCATTAGTGTCATTCCCAAGCCCATGCTATTGTCTGCTAATTTTGTTATGTACCTACCAGTGTTATGATTATGACTCTACATCTTGTTCCACCAAGCGGGTGGGCCCTTTTTTTTCTCTTTTATTGTTTGCCATCTTGTTTTAGGCTTTAATATGCTTGTTTCTCAATAAAAATATTGAAATATAAAGTGGAAGTAAACTCCCACTGGACACTTGTACCTACAGGTAAGCTTATAATAAAACCTACCTGTAGGTACAAGGAATATCTCCTAAACATTCACTGTTTAGGAGATATTCAGTGTCCCTGCAGCCGATGATGTTTCTGGCGCATGTGCTCTGAAGGAACGGCATACCCATGCTGTTCCTTAAGAGCCCTGTGCCGCAGCAGAGACTACCACGCGCATGTGCGGGAATGATGTCGTCATGGCTCAGCCAATCAAGCAGCAAGAGCCCGGAAACCCAGAAGGAAGAGTGGGTGAAAATGGAAGCCCTGTCAGCGTGACAGCATGCTTCTGAAGGGCTTTGTTCTAAGGTAAGCGTTTCATAATGTGCTAGTATACGATGCATACTAGCACATTATGCTTTTATTTTGCAGGGGAATTTTTTTTTTTTCGTGGTTTACGATCTCTTTAACTGAGATGTTGATGAAGGGGGATACTTTTCTGATCCGCTTGGCTATTTTTTAGTATAAACCAATACATTAATTTGGACTCTTGTCTGTTGACCTGGCACTCCTTCCATTGGTGAATGTTTTTTCTCTTTTTTCCTTTGAGGTCATTTCACACCACTCATAACAGTTCAATAAAGTTCTGTAAAAAGAAAAAAAAATAGTACAATGCACTGGGTTCGGCACATTTGCACAGTGTCCGCCTAACACATACCAGAGGCGACTCATTGGTGTGTACGAGCCCTTATTATTTTTTTTTAGACGGGAGGAACATGGATCATATCAGTTCAAATGTTTTCTAGAAGCTGTTTTCATTTTGTAAAACAAATATTTTTCTTTTCCTGCCAGTAACTGCTTTCATTTGGCTTTCCAGCAGATGATATTGTGCTAAAACATATGCACATGTGGCGTACACACTTATTTTCACAGCCGCCATGTGAACCCTTTTCTTCCTTGTGGATTATTTTAGCTGTGCAGGTGCTGCAGGGATGCTGCCAGTGAACAGGTTACACAAGCCTCTTAGTGTCTTGGTTTTGCTTGTAGGCCTGACCACAGACACACATGTTAATCTCCCCACTCTCGCTTCATGCCAAATCCCTGGTGCTTTTACCAAAGTTCTGCCAAGCTTTGCTTAACAGAGAACAAGCTGAAGTACAGTATGGAAAATATACCCTTCTAAAGCCGTTTTATTTATTTATTCTGCAGACCTTATTTGAAAAGGGCAAAGACTGACGCCCTGTTTACACGACGGAGTCTACATTTGTAATAACTGTGGAGTATTTTATCATTTGATGTGGGGAACAGGGCATAATATGCCTGCAACCCAGGACTGCTAGAGACACATTCGGTGTCCTGAAATGTTTTGAACACCACTTTTGAAGTGGATGGGGTCAAGTTTAAAAATACATTTCCAGGATCTGAGTGCAACAGAAAGTTCATTGTACATCGAAGACTGCCGAAACGTTTGATGAAAGCGCAGACAGCTACCCTGTTGCTTCAGCTGCCTCAACCTAAATAGAAGCTTAAAGTGTATTTCCACTTTTGAAACCAAAGTGGGATAGCACCTACTGTACATTATATTTGTTACATGTCACCATTCACATAGCATAAAAAACATTGCACCTTCCCTTTTTTTAAACCAGCCATAGATGATTCAATTTTATTTCCTGCAAAAGAAAATCACTCAATTCCCCTATCAACACTCGCTTTTTTTAATCCCTCCCATGGAGCTATTGTGTTTTCTCGGTGGAGCTGTCCCTGCCAGGAGAACACATTATTGCTAGCAGTTATAGCAGCTGGAAATATGCCCATGAAAAATCTGACAGGCTGGCTGTAACCAAGACATACAACAAGAGAACTGAGTACAATCAGCCTTCCCATAGATGGTTTAGATCTCGGCTGGTTCATCAGGGACCGGCTGAGATTCGAACCATCTACAGGCTGGCTGATTGCACCTAATTTGGTTGTTGTTTGGCTTGGAACGGTTGTTGTATGTCATCTATGATGCTCCCAGAGATGGAGAAGACTGCGGAACTTGGTTTGACAAAGGAGCTGATTGGTGCTTCGAAATGCATTACCAAGGCTATGGACCCACCACCCTGACACCTCTGATGGTTTTTGCGTTCCACGGTGGTTACCCTGACGTCACTTCCAGTTCCGCAGTCTTCTCCATCTCTGGGAGCCGGTGCCTCCCGTGTAACACTGATGTCCATCTCGGTTTAGGCTCCACCTGACCCTGGACGCAGACGCCAATACACCATCGGCATAGTGGCTAGCAGAGTGGCTATGGTCCTCATCCAATTCTTCACACATGTGAGTGTTTTATGTGTGGTACAGTATGAATGATTAAATTACTTCTTAATATTGCACTTAGAGGAGCCCCCTTGTGTTTTCTTTTATTTCTGCAGAAATACATTCCAATCTCTTGGTGGAGCTGCCTTTAGGTGTTTTCTATGGACTTTTAAGGTATTTATGGACTTTATACGGACTTATCACATTTTATTGCTTACTGGTTATATTCCATGTTTTTTACTTTTAGGTTTGCGCCATATGCTTATTGTATATACACTCCTAAACCTTGTGGACAGCCTTCCCAGAAGAGTTGAAGCTGCTATAGCTGCAAAGGGTAGGCCAATTCAATATTGAACCCTATGGACTAAGACTGGGATGCCATTAAAGTTGATATGCATGTAAAGGCAGGCATCCCAATACTTTTGGCAATATAGTATACCGTATTTTTCGCTACATAAGACGCACTTTTTTTCCCCAAAAAAATTAGGAAAAATGTCAGTGCATCTTATGGAGTAAATATGGATCGGCTGGTCCGATATTCCCACCGACACTGCCATGTCAGAATACCGGGCCGGCCGCTCGACTCTTCTCTGCAGCAGAACCTTATCTGTTCCTCGGTCTAGCGCTGTACAGTCTTCCAGCGCCAGCACCTTTAGTGTGGGCACCCGGCTGAATTTGACAGGTACCCACTCCCACTTCTGTGGAGTTGTCCTCCCTTTAGTGTGGGCACCTGGCTGTGACAGCCGGGTGCCCACTGCGCATGCGCCAGAAGCGCTGTGCTTTGTGAATGGTCTGGCGTCTTCTGGGAAACACGACAGGTTCATTCACAAAGCGCAGCGCTTCTCACGCATGCGCAGTGGACAGCCGGGTTCACACACTAAAGGGAGGACAACTCCGCGGAAGTGGGAGTGGGTACCTGTCAAATTCAGGTACCTGCTCCCCCCTCCCTCCCCAAAGGTCTGCAGTCTCTGGTCATCCCCTGTACTGTCTGCAGTCTCTTGGTCATCCCCTGTACTGTCTGCAGTCTCTTGGTCATCCCCTGTACTGTCTGCAGTCTTTTGGGTCATCCCCTGCACTGTCTGCAGTCTCTGGGTCATCCCCTGCACTGTCTGCAGTCTCTGGGCCATCCCCTGCACTGTCTGCAGTCTCTGGGTCATTCCCTGCACTGACTGCAGTCTCTGGTCATCTCCTGTACTGTGTCCGCAGTCTCTGGTCATTTTCTGTACTGTGTCTGGTCATCTCCTGTACTGTGTCCGCAGTCTCTGGTCATCTCCTGTAGCATGTCTGCAATCTCTGGTCATCTTCTGTAGCATGTCTGCAGTCTCCGGTCATCTCCTGTATTAGGTCCTTATTATGCATTTTGACAAGGGAAGTCAGCTATACTGTCCATGCTATGCGCAATTTAGAGGATTGTGTGCTGGTGTGAGGCAAATGGAATTCCCTAGTCTTCCAGGTTAGAGGCTGGATATGAGGCTATCAACCTCATACTAGTCTACAAATGTCAATAATGTGCAAGCAGTATATTTAGTTACTCCAGCTGGATGGATAGACCATGCCTTTGCATTATATTACCCCCCAGACCCCTATGTGCTTGTTGCCTAACACACATTGACATCTTTGGCATCCTGTCACATGTATGCTGTTTGTTTTCCACTTGCAGTGAAACTTATATTCACAACCTTTGAACAATTTTCTTATCTACCAACACAGTGGTTCACATGCTGTGGTTGAAGATGCTGATTCAAACTGTACATGGTGCACCTGTGTATTGTGTACAAAACCACAAAACAAGGTCATAATTAAAACTGAAAAACACACACTGTAAAAAAAAATGTATGGTTTACACTTAAGACAAAATAATAAACCAAAGCGCTTGAGGGTTTCCAATAGCATTAACTTGGGATTAGCCAGCCTATATGTCAACCATTGTGAAGAGAATGGCAGTCACTATGAGCATAATGGTGTAGACCACTTGGAATAGAGACAAGAGGTACTGCATTTTTTTTACCTCAGTCTCCTTATCTTGTACCCGGGCTTGGGCCAGTTATAATTATCTATCCCTGTGGGTTATGATTAATTAAATCCATTTTATTGCGTAAAACTCTGCTAAATGTTCCCATTCTTTCTTTAAATTAGGATCATGGAAACTGCATTGTTTCTTTATGTGTAAACCCCTGGGAGTGATCCCCAGCTCTAAATATTTCTGTAAAAAAGATAGGTCCCACCATTGTGTAGATTCATTTTGCTTGGCACTTTGTAATTGAAAAAATACCTTACGTATATGAATCTCATGTTCTTCGGTGTGCGGGGACTTGGACATGTCTTTATTCGAATTGGGAGTATGTTCTTTTGCTGTTGGTGTTATTGTTAGCCTTGAGAATCCTATCAAAGATAGATTGTAAACTATCAGATCTATGCTTCATAATGAAAAATAAAAAAACCTATTGAATTAAACTGATTATACTATGACATATTAAACATAACAGTATGCAAAAATTAAAAAGGCTGACCAAAACCTCAAATAAATTAAACAAGTTCATAACCAATGTCATAAAAAAAGTTTGGTGTTACAAATCGGAGAATTATAGCCATCTCCAAGAAATATGGAAGTTCCACAACAGATCAATTGACGAAGGCAGCCAAACAAGAATATCCAAATAATACCAAGTCCAAACAAATCCAATACAGTCCAGTGCCATGATGTATTTTGTTAATTTCAAGTAAAACCTTGGTGATAATATAGGGAGCATCAGGGGAGGACTGACAACTCATGGGGCCCCTGGGCAATAGGGAATCATGGGGCCCCTGTGTCCTTGACCACACTCAAAACACACCCAAAAACCCTATAAAAAGGTACCAGGGGCATTTCATGGGGCCCCCTACTGACCCTGGGCCCTCGGGCAGTGCCCGAGTGCTCTAATGGTCAGTCCGCCCCTGGGAGCATTCACATCTGCTTTGGATAAACCACTGGATGAAGGCAGGCAAACAAGACAAAATAGTAAACCAAAGCGCTTGAGGGTTCCCATTAGCATTAACTTGGGATTAGCCATCCTATATGTCAACCATTGTGAAGAAAATGGCAGTCATTATGAGCATAATGGTATAGAAAAAGTTTTTATTATTAGGCATCCATTACAGCTAATGATCATGATAACCTCCCTAGCGGTCTGATTATGTCAGTATTTCTGTGCTCAAAGCAGTAAATATTTTTGCATGGAAATATGTAATTTTTTTTATTGTAGGCCTGTAATTTTTAGGAATAACTCACTGAAATTTGTCCGAACAAGAGTCTAGTAAACATTCCGGGTATGTTAAAATTTGAAACACGAAATCATAAATTATAATTTAATAAATAATCATAAAAAATAATAATATAATAATATTATATTTAATTCAATAATATAATCAAACCAAAAACACTGAAATTTGAAATATAGCGGCAAGTTCGCACATCACTGAGCAAAGTCGCAAAATCGTTTGCAGTGTCTGATGACGAATTTCCCCACGAATCATTATCACTCAATTTTGCAAGTGAGTCAAATTTACTATTGCTGTTCTCTAGCTGGTCTAAAACCGCTTTTGACCTAAAGGGACGCTTTTTGGACGCCATGGACATTTCTCAGTTTCTGGGCAGAAAGAACAGTAAAAATGCAGGCAGGGCACAGGACAAAGCACTGGGGACAAAGTGTATGTGAAATGGTTTGATACAGTAATGTTTTACTATGTGAATTTAGTGAATTTATGCCCCCTTGCAGGGGCAACGAGGCACGCCCCCTGAGGGAGCGCAGCCTTTGTCTCCAGTGGGCGCAGAGCGCGGGAACGCCTCGTGCCCACGCCGTGCCCCGCCGGGGGTGCACGTAGACACCTTGGCAGCCTGCCGCTGGGGTCGCCTGGCGGGGGTCTCCTCCCCCTATCCTGCACAGCCTAGCTTCCGAGGCTGTGTAGGATGAGGACGCGGCAAGGGGGGAGGAGGGGGGAGCGTGAAGGCACATTTGACAACTCTACTCATCCATCCATCCATCTGGGACAGAGATATATATGTCCACTCATCTCTAAGTCCATTTAAAGGGACAAAAGTTGTATTTGACCTCACTTAACGGTTTGGTCATATACGTCAGGTGAGCGCACAATGGTGATGGAGCACACAAGTTAAAGTTTTTGTGGACTTTTTCATATATAATTTTTTATATATATAATTTAAAAAAAAAAGAAATGTTTATATTTTATACTATTCATTTTTCACTAGTGAATAACACAAGTCACGGATTGTTTTTGCAAATAAGCATGCACGATTGCAATTTAAAGCTGGACTCACTTTTGCTACTTAAATCATTTGGATTATATATATTAATCCTATGTTTATATTTCAGTGTAAATATAATATTTAATATTAGTGGAGCGTGACACATTTTGCATACTTATTTCTGATTATAGTGACACACGTATGAGTGAGTGTGTGTGAGGTGTAGGCGACCCACTTATATGTTTTTTTTATGGTTTTATGTATTTATTTAATAATTTACATGTAATAATTTATATTTCACTCACCTAATTAAGATATTTATGCACATATACCATAGTAGCTCACAAGTATCACAGTTTTAAATTTCAAAATGTTGCATGGGCATCATGGGTGGATAGACTGCACTGTTTACTTTTTTTTATATTGTATTGTCAAAAATAACTTGTTTGTGTTATTACAATGCTGATATAATAGAATAAATGTAAACCATGTGTAACCATATGTTATACAGAAGTTGCATTTAATTATCAAATAGATTTGGTGTTCATAACAATAATAATTTCTATGATGGTTTTAGGTTGGTTCGCATCTTCATCTTGGACGTTCAATTTCCATTTTGGACATCTAATTCGTCCTTTTTTGGGGGTAATGTTCTAGCCTTTTTTATGTGTTTCTTTCATTGTCTTTTCTTATTTTGATGTTTTATACATAATACGAAAACATTTTTGCATATGGTGATACAATTTACATATGTTAATTTTTTTTACTTTTATTGATTTGTAATTTGTATTTATATATTAGCTTTCATTTGTAAGTCATTTTGTTTCATATTCAGTGAGTTGGCGACACTGTTTATGACACTTGTATCTCTTTAAATTTAAATTCAATTGTTTCTCATACAGCCCACTCGGCTTTTAAATAACAGAGCCATCAGCTCCCGATCACAGGACTTGATAAAGCACATTGTCATAGCAACATACCCGCCATCTTGGATCTGTGATGTAGATTCCGGAGGCCACATTCCAGTGCAGCTTCTTCCAGGAGAGGCTCTGGAGAAGTCCTGGAGGTGAGCGCGGGAGTGGTGATGAGGGAGCTAGAGAGGAAGGTATCTTGGGAGGAGCGGAGTAGGCGATTTGGGCAGTATCAGCGGATGAGATTGGCGAAGTAGCTAGGGGCCAAGTTGTGGATGGCTTTGTAAGCTGTGGTTAGTATTTTGAATTTTATACGTTGTGGGTTAGTGAAAGCCAGTCAAGGGATTGGCAGAGAGGGGCAGCAGTCGCTGATCGGTAGGTAAGGTGTATGAGTCTAACAGCAGCATTCATAATAGACTGAAGGAGGGATAGCCTGTGTAACAGTAGACCAGTGAGGAGGGAGTTGCAGTAATCAAGGCATGGATAAGTTGTTTTGTGGTGTCATTGGTCAGAAAGGGGCGGATTTTGGAAATGTTCCGAACGTTGAGGCGGCGGGATTTAGCCAGTGATTGGATGCGCGGCCCAAAGGAGAGGTCAGAGTCTAGGATTAAGCCTAGCACCCTGGCATGAGGGGAAGGACCAATGGTTGTGCTGTTGATCTTAATGGTAAAGTCGTGAGTGGGGGATCGGGGAGGAGGAAATATTACAAGCTCGGTTTTGGAAAGATTGAGTTTAAGGTAGTGATGTGACATCCATGCCGATATGTTGCTTAGTAGATTTGAGGGGGTAAGCTGGGGAGTGGGGTTGAGGAGATTGAGGGGGTAAGCTGGGGAGTGGAGAGATAGATCTGGGTGTCATCAGCATAGAGGTGGTATTGGAAGCCATGGGAGGTTATCAGTTGGCCCAGGGAGGAGGTATAGAGAGAGAAAAGGAGGGGACCAAGGACAGAACCTTGGGGTACCCCGACAGAAAGAGGAAGCGGAGAGGAGGAGGAGGGAGTTGTATGTGACACTGAAAGTGTGCAGAGAAAGGTAAGAGGAGAACCAGGAGAGAGCAGAGTCACAGAGGCCGATGGAGTGGAGTTTATTAAGGAGGAGCAGGTGGTCGACTGTGTCAAAGGCAGCGGAAAGGTCAAGGAGTATGGAGTAATGGCCGTTGGTTTTAGCAGTTAGTAGGTCATTAG